GGGGGGGGGGCGCAGGGAGGGTCTCTCACAGACAAAACTGTGGAGTGTCCATCTCCCCCTGCAACACACACACACACTGCTGGTCGCACAGCCTCAGCCAGCACTTCCTCTCTGCCCTCTGCCCCCAAGGGAAGGGAACAGGGACATCCCAGGAGCTCACCTCTTCCAGTGGCAGCTCCCTGAGCAGCGGCAGTGAGCTGCTCAGTAGCCCGATGAGGAAGGGGGTCGGCGAGCACACGATGTCAATCATGGCCGGTGGCAGCACGGGGATGTAGGTGTGCTGCCAGGCGAAGGGGTAGATGGCTGCCACCATGGCGTGGCAGCACTTGGACAGCGTGCTGTGGCCGGGAGAGAAGGACAGAAAGGGCCGAGTCAGGGAGGGTGTGAGGAATGGGGCTGCTTGGGCTCACGGGGTGGGCAGGCTACATGGAGGCGGAGGAGAGAAATGTCTGCACTCCGTCCCAAAGGCCTGTTGGTCAGAAAAGATGTCATGCTCACATCAGGTGTGTCACGTAATCCAAGGTTGCCGGTTTGACTACCACATGGGATGGTGGACTGCGCCCCCCTGCAACTAAGACTGAACATGGCACCTTGAGCTGAGCAGCTGTGAGCTGCTGAAGGATGGCGGCAGCTGAGCTGCACCCTCCACAATTAAGACTGAAGGACAACAGCTTGACTTGGAGCTGATGGGTCCTGGAAAAAACACACTGTTCCCCAATAAAGTTAAAAAAATTTTTTAAAAAAATATAATTTCACTTAGCTTCCAAGCAAGTTCATCTGTATCTAGCATTCTCCTTAAACATCCTTAAAATATACATTAGTCCTCCTTCCCATCCCACCTGCATTTGGGGGCCCCCTGAACCCAATAAGGGTAATGTTGAATCTTGTTGATTTAGCATCGTGAACCTCCTCACCTTCCTGTTCCCTATCTTTGCAAATAATCATTCTCCTGATATTCACTGGAGTCAGGAAGTACTGCTTAGTAAGCACAGCGTGCACAAGTTTCACTGCTATTTTAGTCCTTTTCTTTCAAACAATCATCCCCAAAATGAGAAAGATGCTATCCCAAGATTTCGTTCTTATCACTATAATACCTTCTTTATTAGCGGAGCGAGAGTGAGACAGAAAAGTTTAGTTGGGACTTTTATATACCAAGGAGAGCAGTATCACTAATTCAGCCCCCAGCTTGGGCGAAGTCAATTCTGTCTTTCAAAGGATCTTCTTCTCTCCGAGCAAAGAAACTTTTTCCCTAAGGCATCACTTTCTCCCAGTTATTCAAGAACGTTAATACTTTTTTTTTTTTTTTAAAGATTTTTATTGGGGAATTGCGGGGAGGGGAACAGCGCTGGGGAATTGGGGGAAGGGGAACAGACAAGTTGCTGTCGTTTTGTTCTTCAATCTAGTTGTGGAGGTCGTTG